ATCGAAACCATTACAAGAATCTGTCAAACTCACCCATCAAAGTTAGGGGGCGGTTATCCAACACCTGATTGGTCACCCTGCACATTAAGGCGAAGCAGATCGATTACAGAGACTGTGATCCACAGGTTGTGAACATACTCTGATACAGTAGGTGGCGACTTGATTCGCCATAACCCCGCCCCCTAACTTTGATGGGTGAGTTTGACAGTTTCTTTTAATGGTTTGGATGCACTGCGACACAGGACCATGAAATAATTAAATGCACACTGAAATAATTATGTATATTTTTTTATTAAAATGAAGACGTATTTTATTAAATTAATGACATTTATATATTTAATTCTGTATTTATTTAATGAATTACACATTAAATTAATTGTTTGTCACCATCTATTTAATTGTGGCACTTTATATTAGTGACGTGGTTTTAATTAATGAATGACATTTATTTATTTAATTCCACATTTAATTAATTATTGACACATTTAATTATTAATTTAATGCTGTATTTATTTATTTAATTGTGGCACTTTTTATCCTCTATAGGATAGGACATAAAACACTTGTGTTAAAGTTAGTGTTGTGCCGATGCCATTTTTTGGCACCGATACCTGGCTGTGCAGTATTTGCTGATACCATCTATTTGAAATTTATGTGTTTGTGTGTATATATGAAGAACTGCATACTTGGATGTAAAATAGTTGCCATCATGGCTTTGTCAAGCTGCTGCCTATCTTCGTGAAGCAGGAAAAAGACTAATACAAAGGGAATCCAGTAGAACTTTTATTGCCTACCTGGGATGGTTGACAATAGTTGAATAAACTATTGGCTCTTAAAATGGTATTGGTGCCATATTTGTTGTTACTCACTGATACCGATAACACCATTTTATTGCTGGATCGGGGCCCCGCCCGATACTGGTATCGGTGCAACACTAGTTAAAGTAACTAAATAAATGCCAAAAGCAGGTGCATTACTCTTTTCAGTGTAGAACATCTTCTGATCCTTTAGACGTAAAACTATAATACTATAACCTTGAGCCCGGCGGGCCGGTACATTCACAACATTCACGTTGTGTTTCATCCACATGCCTTTAATAATTTTTAAATAAATTAAATTATTTTTTTCACAAAAACTTTTTAATAGCTGTAAAAATCTGCAAACCAGGTTTGTCCTGCAACACCTGTGACTGATGTTGGGGATGTGTCATAATTATTTTTGCTAATTTTTCAACAAACGCTTCTGATTCTAATTGATTTTTTACGTTTTTGTACAGTTTTTTATTTCTAATTCTTGTTTTCAAAAAAAAAACAAAACTGTTTGGTGAGAAAAAATATTCAGTCCATCTTTTTTTCTATTCAGTTTAGTGATACTGTGTGTTCAATGGTACATTTGAAATAAACCAACGGCTAAATCTTAGGAGCATAGGCTTTGCCTCATGCAGAAGGTCTCCAATAATGTCAGTCAGCATACTGGTCTGGTCTGATTCCCTTTTCTAAGTGAAAAAAATTTATTTGGCACAATTTGGCCACTTTTGGCACCACTGTGCCAAAATCACATTTCCGCAAAGCACACTGCCCCCTAAAACCTTAGCGGCACAAGCATGCTTCAATTAATTCGGTCCATATGAAGTTTAGTTATAGTTAAGATGGGAATCTATAAAGTCTAAAGTTCATCCAAAGTTTCAAATGGGGTTTCATGGTGTTTTATCTCGGAAAAAATGTAAAAAAATATTTTTTTGGCTCGTCATCATGTCTATAATCACATTTACAATAGTGGTTCCACCTGAAAAATATTCATCAATGCCTTTCTGTTATGCAAATACAAACTATTGTATTTCCAACTTATAGTTTGGGAGCTGTACTTCCTTTAATTCACATTTGTAATTTCAGGCGGATTTTGCTCCTAAAACCCTCTGGGCTAAAGGGGTTAAACTTGTATGTTCTCTGGTTGTTTGTTAAAGGCGATTATAGCAGGATGACGATAGAGGTGAAAAATATTTTTGATGCGCAGGGAAGAATGGCTTCCCTCCATAAAAATCTAGTCTTATAGTAATACATTTTCTATCCAATTATCCACTAAATGCTACCGGGATGGGGTGCTTTACTCCACTAGATGACACCAAGACTGAGCTTCTGTTTTAGCTCCTGTATAAAAAAAGAAGTGGATAAACGCATCATATCCAGTGTTGAGTATGGTGGAGGATCGGTGATGCTTTGGGACTGGATGATTTTTGGAGTCACACCAACAATCTTTAAAAATACTAAATAAAATGAAAAAACAGGTTCTGGGCATGCTTTGGTGGCGCAGTGGTTAGCGCACACAACCCATGTATGAAGGCCTTAGCCCTTGACGCGCGTGACCCGGGTTTGAATCCAGCCTGTGGTCCTTTCCTGCATGTCTGTGACGTACATCCTTTACTGTCCACCTACTGTCCATTAAAAAGAGCCACTGGTGCTGTAAAAACTCAAAATATGAATAAAGTAAAAAAAACTGGCCCTGGAAGTTTTAGGCATCTCCTTGCTGCCAAACATCTGACTTATACGGAGAAATGATGAACAGGCCTGTTAGGATAATTATCATTGCAATGTGTGAGTTTATTACGCCCTAATATCAGCTTCCTGTTGCGTGTCAGAACTGATGTTTTCCACAGAAGTTTATCAAATTAGCACAGTTCCTCTGTCCAGCTATATACAGTTATCTTCATGCGGGAAAGATTTGGGAATAGAATGAGAGCGGCATCCTTCAGCAAAGAATAAAGTGTAATATTGCGATATGGCTGGAGCCATGGATGTCTCCTCATCTGCAAACATGTATGATGTAATGATTTGGCAGACTGGAATTGTATAAAATGCTCCTCTGTGAATCACGGTCACTTCACAAGAAGTGAGTCCAGTTGGTGAGCAGCTGCCTTCTGTGACCTAAGCAACTTCTCTGACCTGAGTAAGATTACAATTTCTATCAAAATCTGTTGTCATGTGTCGTTATTTAATGCATACACTATATTGCCAAAAGTATTTGCTCACCTGCCTTGACTCACATATGAGCTTAAGTGACATCCCGTTCCTAATCCATAGGGTTCAATATGACGTCGGTCCACCCTTTGCAGCTTAGGAGTGTGTTTATGGGAATTTTTGACCATTCTTCCAGAAGCGCATTTGTGAGGTCGCACACTGATGTTGGACGAGAAGGCCTGGCTCTCAGTCTCCGCTCTAATTCATCCCAAAGGTGTTCTATCGGGTTGAGGTCAGGACTCTGTGCAGGCCAGTCAAGTTCATCCACACCAGACTCTGTCATCCATGTCTTTATGGACCTTGCTTTGTGCACTGGTGCACAGTCATGTTGGAAGCTCCAAACTGTTCCCACAAAGTTGGGAGCATGGAATTGTCCAAAATGTCTTGGTATGCTGAAGCATTCAGAGTTCCTTTCACTGGAACTAAGGGGCCAAGCCCAGCTCCTGAAAAACAACCCCACACCATAATCCCCCCTCCACCAAACTTTACACTTGGCACAATGCAGTCAGACAAGTACCGTTCTCCTGGCAACCGCCAAACCCAGACCCGTCCATCAGATTGCCAGATGGAGAAGCGCGATTCGTCACTCCAGAGAACGCGTCTCCACTGCTCTAGAGTCCAGTGGCGGCGTGCTTTACACCACCGCATCCGACGCTTTGCATTGCACTTGGTGATGTATGGCTTGGATGCAGCTGCTCGACCATGGAAACCCATTCCATGAAGCTCTCTGCGCACTGTTCTTGAGCTAATCTGAAGGCCACATGAAGTTTGGAGGTCTGTAGTGATTGGCTCTGCAGAAAGTTGGCGACCTCTTCGCACTATGCGCGTCAGCATCCGCTGACCCCGCTCCGTCAGTTTACGTGGCCTACCACTTCGTGGCTGAGTTGCTGTTGTTCCCAAACACTTCCATTTTCTTATAATACAGCTGACAGTTGACTGTGGAATATTTAGGAGCGAGGAAATTTCACGACTGGATTTGTTGCACAGGTGGCATCCTATCACAGTTCCACGCTGGAATTCACTGAGCTCCTGAGAGCGACCCATTCTTTCACAAATGTTTGTAAAAACAGTCTGCATGCCTAGGTGCTTGCATTTATACACCTGTGGCCATGGAAGTGATTGGAACACCTGATTCCAATAATTTGGATGGGTGAGCAAATACTTTTGGCAATATAGTGTATGTTATGAAGTGTTATTTAAAGAGCATGTCCCGAGGATCTCTTTTCAGGAAATAAGAACCGGTGAGAGAAAGCTTCAAGGTATAAATGCAGAGCTTTCCCTCCTGCAGCACCTGATGTCTGCTGAGCTCATGTGTTTATTTGAATCAGATGTGCTGCAAACCAGAGCGGGTTGAGAACCACAGATCCAGAGCATTTTCCAATCGACGCAGTAACTGTTGATCAGACAGAAAGTCTTCCTTGATCACCTCCGCTCTATAGAAACCCATTAGGTGGCCAAGATCAGGAGAACGAAAGAGAGGAACTAGCATCACTGCTGCTGCACGGTTTTCTTCTGGCAAAATAAAGTTTGACCACATTTCTCTTATTATAGCCTCTAAACACTGGCTGTCTTTCCTTTTCATCTGGTTTGCTTTAAAGGTTTTAATGGCCGTGCTCTACATCCCTACACAGCCTCCTATTCCTCCAGGTCGGCTGATCCATGGCCAGACTAAGTAGCCTCAATGGAGACGCTACTTCTGCTCGACTTCCACTGCACTCCACCTTGGTTCTTTAGCTGTTTAAAATCTCTATAAATTAACCTGATTTTATGCTGATTCTACTAAATTTTTTTGCTCCACCCAGAAAATGGAACCAAATGGAGCGCTGTTTTTAAAAATATTTTTGTGGATTTAATTTTATGGTTATGAAAAAAACTATTAACATTTGTTTTTATTTTTAAAACCCATTTTCACAGGTGATATGAGGAATCCATCACTTTTGCTGGAAACCCAGTAATAGAAACACAGACTGAAATAACCCACCAAACTCAAGACTTTTCTTCATTTTACCTTTTCATTCGTACACAGATGCTATAATTAATACAGTTAATCTGCAGATCACGTTTGGTACATTCCAACTGACAATCTGTTTCTGTATGGAATAAATACAGACGACCTCATTTTATGATTTCTGCACAGAAAGTAGATGATAAACCGTTTATTAGTGTGCTTTTCTTCCTGCAGAAATGGCAAAGAAACCTTTCAGTAAAGCCTTGGAATAAATTTTAACTGAGAACAAAACCCCAATGAGCAAACAAATGCGACAATTTTCAAATTTTATCATATTAGACCCATAAATGTTGAAACTGCATGTCAAAGACATTTTTTTTTTGTCTTTAACTAGACAATATGAAGCCCCTACCTGTCTAATAGAAGCAGGTGGTATTTTAAGTACCGGCAATGCTTGGAAATGTTTTAACATGACTTCATTTCAAACAAATAGTGAATGTATATTTTAAAGTTGGACAAATCAGCTCAAAAAGTAATAAATATTCATCTTCAGTCTTTTCATTAAACTGAAACTATTTAACTCAGGCTTTATGTGAACCTTAATTCTGCAGAAAAGCTGAGGTGTGGGTTGTAGCTGCAGTTTCCCGTTTCCACCAGTAGGTGTCACTAGTCATGTAAACACCAGAAGCAACCTAAACAGAAATTAAGGGGTTTTTCTGCCAGCTGAAAAAAAGCTGAAATCTACATCTTAAAAGGATTTTTTTCAACTTGTTCGGAAAACCGTTGAGGACGGCTAGCAGGTTCATCTCAGAATCCAACAGAAACGAAGGCCATTTTGATTCCTGGAGGGGGTCGATGTCCATTTAGAGGTATAGGAAATCTGGAAGCCCTTTAAGCTCGGCCGTCGTGGTTGAGCGTTGCTTTCTCCATGCGTCTGTACCAGTGCTTAACTTTCGTGTTTTCCATCATGTCATCAAACGCCTGAAGTCCCTCCATAACTCGGAGGACTCCAAACACCGCCTACAGGTGGATGAAAACCGAGCAGCCGGTTATCAAAGGTGAATCTAAGATGACGGTAAAACCAGCAGAGCTTTTCCTCACCAGGTCTGCCAGGTTAGGCTGATCTCCACCCATGAACTTCCTGTTTTTACCGATGGCTGCCACCCAGTCATTGACGGCCTTATAGAGATCCTGCCTGACGTCGTCCTGCAGGTTGTGTCTGTTGGGCCAACGATGGGAAAATAAGAAGAATTTCCATCTAAAATTCCTCAGAAACAAAAACTAAACACTAGTAGAAAACGTACCGACTCTTCAGTCTTTTTGAGATGATGAACATAGCAGCAGCACCTACGTATTTGGCAAAGAAACCTTCCACGGCACCAAACTTGCCCTCGCGTACGATGTAGTCGAAGGAGGCCAAGGCTTCGCCGGTTGTGCGGTAAACGTTTGGGGATATGAGGTGCACGAGCCAATCGTCGGCCCACTGTCTCCACTTCATCTCTTCTCTGAAAACAGCACATCGTTATAGAAATGGTTATGGAAGGAGTCGTTTGGTCGCCTTCGCTAACGACCGTCGTATTCGGTTTAGGTCAATCCTACCTAGATATAGGTAGGCTTACTGCACCAGTGACGTCACGGTGCGGTAAACCTAGCGCCACTCTCACCCCTTTACAAGCAAAATCAATGGGAGCTACTAGACACATCTGCAATCAACAACAATTACTTAATATTTCGAGAGGACTTCACCATTGAAATCCACCAGACCTACAGTTAAACTGACAAAGCCCACGTGCATGGCAGCTGGATGCTGCAATACATTGAGTAAAGGTGAAGAATAACTTCCACCTCTCCTCTGAAAACAGCCCATTGTTTTAGAATCGGTTATGGAAGGAATCGTTTTGTCGCCTTAGCTAAAGAGCGTAGTATTCGGTTTAGGTCAATCCTACCTAGATATTTATTTTCTTCAGTTAATTTAGTCAAGATTAGATCAACGCTCACTCTAGGGCGGAGGTCATCAACAGGGGGTCCATGGAGGTACTGCATGGGGGTCACAAAAGTTTTGGTTGATTAGACGTTTTTAATATATTCCCCCCTGTAATTTTTTTCCAATAATTGAAATGTCTTTAAATCCACATTAACATGAATTCAACACACTGTAGTAAACAGAACAGAAATGGAGGCAGAAGATGTCTTTCAGTCATCAATGCACACATTCAGCGACACACAGGAGCTCTTTCAAGCTGGGCACCGTTTCATTCACAACACCTGTCCCATCAACCAGGAATCAGAAATACTCTAATAATCCCAGGGAGAAATTACTTTCGTTATATTAATCCATATGTAATTTGGGCTACGTTCACACTGCAGGCCTTGAAGCTCAATTCCGATTTTTTTGTGAAGTCCGATTTTTTTTATGTTGCTGTAGACATTTCCAAATATATGCGACTTGTATGTGATCTCCTCTGTGAACTGCAGTCATACAATGCAAGGGTCCTGCATGCGCAGTAGAGGACGCAATGACGTCACAGGCCAACATGCTCTATGTTTATGGAAGTAAACATGGATGGTAGTGCCGGCGCGCATCTAGCAGTCTTTTCCAACCATAAAAACACAATCTTTTCAAGATGGTTACACATAAATACTGCTCTTCGCATCATCATCGGCCATGGTTGTTGTTTTTCTTGCAGCTTCTGCGTAACAAGACGCAGAATAGTGACCTTTGTCGGGTATTAATGACGTTCAGGTCACAGGTCGCAATTGAAAAGATCAGATTCGCATCAGATTCAGGACCACATAGCCAAGCGGCCTGGGTCGTATTGGAAAAAATTGGATCTGTGTTGTTTAGACTGCCATGAAAAGATCAGATCCAGGTCGCATATGGGCAAAAAAAATCAGATTTGGGTCACTTCAGGCTGCAGTGTGAACGTAGCCAGAGTGACTATAGGACCAGTTTGATATAACAATATATATAATTAGTGGGTCCCAGCTCCATCTCGCCATCAGTTTGGGGGTCCTTGGCCTGGAAAACGTTGAAGACCTCTGCTCTAGGGGAAAAAAGGGTTGACTCAGAAACTGAAGGTAAAATAAATAAAAAATTACGTTTTTTTGTTGCTTTGCATTTATCGGCCAACACCTTCAACTTTCCGGCTAATAAAACAATAATTTATTCCTGGTGTGTCACATTTCCAAAGTTGTGGTACTCACTTCTGCATCCCCTTGGTAGGATAAACTACAGCATTCTGGGCCTCGCTCAGCATGAGCCAGTACTTGTTGTTGTACTCCGTCACCTCCTTCCCCCGATCGTTCACAGCCTTCATCTCTGGGTAGCAGCGAATTATATCAGACAAGCTTTTCTCCCTGGAATCACAAATATATTCAAGCCTCTACTGTGACAGATGTTCATTTAAAATACAGATTTAGTTATTTATTTTAAACTCAACAGTTGTTTTTGTTGCCTTATATAAAAGCTCAACTTTCAAGGAACCTTTACCTCAAGATTCACTTTTATGGAGAAATAAATACAGAAGCTCCAGTGCATATAAGCAGGAAGAGCAAATATCTGTAAAACTAACCGAGTGAATGAGCTGTTTTTTATTTTTTTATTTAGAGGTTTAGACGATCTACTAAAATTAAGGCTGCAACTAACGATTATTTTGCAAATCGATTAATCACTCGATTATTTTTTCAATTAATTGATTATTAATCGGATAGCAAAAGGTTCCTTAAATAACCTTTTTTATGAATTTAAAGCAGGTGAGACTCAAACTTTTCCACTTGAGGAATTCTTGATGGTGCATATTGACAGACAAAAACATTTCTTCATCTTAAATGCAAAATGTTAACATTTCTTTTACAATTTTGGTAAAATTTCTGCTCTACGTAAGTCACTCTGCCAACTAAAGACACGTTTTAGAGTCTATACTAATCTATTCTCGATTAGTTATGATTAATCCGATTAATTGTTTCAGCCCTAGCTATAATAAATACTTGACGTGTTGGATGATTTTCTTAGAGCAAACAAGAAGAAATGTTTTCCACTCTCCAAACCTAATGTAATATTTTTTTTTTCACCTAATAAACAAACTTAAACATTCATGTGACTCCTGATAGTCAGTTTAACAATAATGATGAAAATCTTATTTGAAACATCAAATACTAGGCCTGAGTTTTGGCAGAGGGGCTGCGATATGATACGCATCACAATACAATATTATCATAATATTGCAATATTTTTCCCAGCTATCGCAAATAAATTTATAGATAAAAAAGCAAGTGCTGTATATGTTCATCCGAATAAATTGATCACTTAGTATTTTTGGTATCCATGTTGTTTGGTGTTTGAGTCAGTCGACGTCTTCCACTGTGACCGCCTCAACTACAGATATGACGCTGCGCTTCACAGCTAAAGGGCCTCACAGCTCTATCTGCTGGAGTGGAGGGGCAGAGGTTGCCCATTTCCCCCCTCATTGTTTTAGAAAATGTTTTTTTTTTTTTCTAAATAGATACTAGGAACCGAATGATTGATATATCACAGGGTTCCTACAGCATAAGGCAAGTTAAATTCAAGACTTTTTAAGACTTTTTAATGCCACTTAAAATAAAAATTTAAGACCAAATTCACAAGAAACACAAGAAAAACCTGCTTGCGACAACTTAACACAGGTTTATTACAACATAAACCACTGCACTAATGTTTCAGATTTTGAAAAGCTTCCCATACAGGAAGAAAGCTAAAAACACACAAATGACAGATATATTTGAACAATTATTGTACTGAATTCACAAACTTTGTTTTAGCAGGGAACAAAACTAATCAGTTTTAAAGCCACAACATAACCAGTGCTAAGTCTTTTAGCAGCTATTTTTCTTTGTATCGTTTTCTTAGTATGTTTGATTTGGTGATAAGTGGAGGCGTTGCAGAGACAAGGGTGGAACTAAACTGAGAAATACTATCTGTTTCTCTGTAACTCAATTTTGACGCTTGTGTTTCGCGCTTCGCATGTGCGACTCCACTGCCTTAATTCCCATCGTTCCGAGCTTGAATGACTTCTTGCACAAAATCCACTGAGCCTCATTTATGTTCCCTGGTTTTAGCCATGGAGAAAACTCTTGGCTGGAGACAGTTTTGGTTACATTTACACTTGCTCATATTTTCCACAGACAAAATGTTAATGATGCATCTCCCAAATGTCCCGGCCGCAACAACGCTTTTATTGGTTCCGCTATCAGGATGGAACCAATAATGGCAAGCCATTTTTTTTTTATATAAAAAAAAAATAATAATAATAATTCAATTTTAACGTTTTATTCAGATTACAAAAATAAATCGTAATAAAAATAATCCTATTTATGATGTTTTAAAAATTAAGACCTACGAAAAGACATTTTAATACCAGTTAAGGCCTTAGTTTTATTTTGAAGAATTCAATGCCTTCTAAGACTTTTTAAGGACCCGCGGGAACGCTGTATCAGGATTCCGAAAATGACGATCAATATATAGTCAAATTGATCTTTCCCTAACACCCCTATCAAATATATACTTTTACAAAGTGCAAAACCTTCCAATAGAGAAAAACAATTCTTCATGAATGACAAAACCCTACATTTCTATTCATCATAAAATCAATGACAAATGTATTTTTTTATATACTTTTTACTTTAAATCGGTATGGAGAATTCAAAAGGGAAGTTTTCCCTTTGACTGGCTCCATGTTGGTTTCAGCAATGCCGACCTTTATCACTCACATGACCTTACTCTCCTCTCTCTGATCTACTTTGACCTGATTCAGCTGCTTCTAGATGAAGGTTGGAGGAGATCTGGCATTTTTCCCCAGAAATCTAGAAGAATCTTAACCTGACTCTGCCAAATGGATTTGCTCCGCATATCCATCTGGAAACCTTCCGTTGGAAGTAATTTTGGGAAGGTGCGAAAATACTGGTTAGCCGATTTGCCTATGTTGGTGATAGACGGGCCAAATAAACCAATCAGATCAACGAAGCATATGACGTAACAGGGCGACGACGAAAACACAACCACCAGGAAGGCTACTCTTGCCGAAACCAGTAGGGAGAAGAGCAAAAACATCTTTTCCTCTGAGAAAAGCCTCCAGAGCAGTGTTTTGCTCTTCTTTCAGTGAAGAAATACTGTAATTCCGATAAAACTTGTTCAATAGCCATGCTAACGCTAGTTTCATCGGCTGAAGCCGCCATGTTCTTTAGACTGAACTGTCGCGCTTCTCGTTGCGTCACACCTCAACCCGCCTCAAAGCCAACGCTGATTGGACGTTCGTTTGGTGAACGGCTCCAAATTTTCTTTAACGGAGAGTCTCCAGACTGATTTGCGAGTGAAACCTTGAAAGCTCGCAAGATAAGGATGGTCTCACGAGGCAAGAAGAATCTGTCCTCTAATGTGAAAAATTCTTCTTCACCTCCTCCTATTAAAAAAAACACAGCTTATGTTCCTGACTTTTAAACCAGCTTTACTTGTTATAGTATTTTATGTTGTGCTCTTTTCTGAAACTTTAAATTTATCTATTTTATTATTTATTCTGATAACTTCTTCTTTTACATTTTTTTTTGTGTTTAGCACTTTAATAATCATTTTTAGAGTAAGATTAATTTAAAACTTCTATGTTAAGCATCAAGTTATCCAATAATATTTATCTTCCTCCTTGTGGGCTGTTTTTCCTTTTAATGGTCATGTTCAAAAAGTAAGAAGTGTTGCTGCAAGAAATACCAAATGGATATTTCAATAAAATAAAAAAAAAAAACATCACATTTGTGAAACTTACTTGCTGAGCATTAAAGTCCTGAGGGAGCTGATGATGACAGATGAATCATTCAGTTGCTGCAGAAATAAAAAATATTTTTTTGCAAAGTTCATAAATTTTGTAGCAGGAGAGTGAAATGTCGTCATTAAAAATGCATTTAAAGTGTCCTGCGTTTATCTTCTGTGTGTTAATATATAATTGCAAATGTAGGTTATAGTGGCTGAGAAGATAAAACCCATGGAGGATGCTGAGGATGGTATTCCTGATTTTCAGGAATTATTTTGGTTAAAAATGTAAACCATGTCGGTTTTAGAGCTCAGAACATCTCACCAGCTCGCTGTCCACCATCAGGATGGGCACCTTCCTGTATGCAGACCACTTGATCTCCTGCCTCATCACAGGGTTCACCTCCACAATGTCGTACGGCAGCCCGTAGTAGTCCAGAAAGGCTCGCACTTTGCTGCAAAACGGGCAGGTCTTATACTGGTATAGAATCATCTTCAGAGCACCTCCTGAAACCTGCAGAAGGTTAACCACAAATAAAGCTGCTGAAGCTCCCAAAAACAAAAAACAACTTTACAGACAAATCCTGCAGTCCTTCTGGACATGTTTTGCAATGAATCTCTCTGATTTATGCAAAAATAAAGGATGATAAGCAAATGAGAATCTGAATGAAACTCTGCCAGTGATGTTGTGGTTCAGTGACTGTCGACCTCTTTGGGATAATTTCCAAGGCTCAAAATAAACTAGTTATTCTTTCTGCATGACGTTAGTCCTCACATTTTGATTTTCGACGTTCCCATCCATGTGAGTGAGAAGAATCACTCAGCAGGAATGCCCCCATAGCAGAACCTTCCCTGTGCTGCAGAACAGCAGCAACCTGAATCAAAACGCTGACATTTGGACTCATTTCCAGGACTCGTTGTTCCACATTTCAATAATCTAATAAATTAAACAGTTTTTCTGTCCACTTTCTGAAAAACTGAACTTCTAACATAAACTTTTCTGGGAAGAAAACAGCAGGAAGGTCCTGGAAGGTTTGAATCTGATTCTCTTCATCCCACTGAGCTTTTTTTAGATTTCTGTTTACATGTTTATCTAACTAGAATGAAACTAAACATGTTGATTACAGGTTAATTACAAGTACGTACACTCGTTACTTAAGTAGAAGTACAGATACTGCAGTTTAAAAACACTCTGGTAAATGTATGTGCTCCAAAAACTCCTTAAAGTATAAAAGTATAAAGTAACCTTAAAAAAAAAACAGCCAGTTGCCACTATATGAATTGAAAGCTTAATTTTTTGACCATTTTGAAAAAGTCTTTGAGATAGGTTAAAGGATGAGGGAGGTCTTGTTGGTCTTCATCTCCTGATACGCTCTCGCCTGTGTCTGACCTTTCGGGAATTTCAAAATCTTTCTCTGAATCCTACATTGTAGCATGGCATAGACAATTCACATTTGCAGTTTGAAGAACACCTGCTTGCTTCTGATGATTTCCTTTAGCTAACCAATGAGTGTTTGTTTTCTATGACTCATCCAATGACACTAGTTTTCACTAGATGTGGATGGAGCCAATGATCTGCATTGGATGGCACACATGACAGGAAATAAACATTAATAAACATTAAAACAAAGCCAAGAGTAACGAGTAACTTTTTAAAAAGGTAAGGACTAGAAAGTACAGACACTTGTGTGAAAGAGTGATGAGTAGAAGTCAGAAGTAGGAAGAAATATAAGTAATGGATTAAAGTATAGATACCTAATATGTGTACTTAGGTACAGTAATGAAGTATTTGTACTTTGTTACTTGACACCTCTGTATATATGTATAAACATATAAACAGCTGAAGTCTCTTATTTAGCAGGATTATTATACAGGGTATTAAATGGGTGTATATATATATATATATATAAATATATAAATATATACATACATACATACATACATACACACACACACACACTACCGTTCAAAAGTTTGGGGTCACATTGAAATGTCCTTATTTTTTAAGGAAAAGCACTGTACTTTTCAATGAAGGAAACTTTAAACTAGTCTTAACTTTATATATATATATATAATTGCACTGAGTAGCAAATATGAAATATACAACAAATTATTGCACAGGGTATTAAATAGTCATTGCACAAGTTATAGCAGTTATAGTGTTGCATTGTAAAGTCTGATGAATGACCTCCTTTTTACAAACAGGATGTTTCCTGTTTGTTTCTGCTCAGCTCCTCCACAGCAGAGGAGCAGCTCCTCTACAGTGGAGGAGTTTCTCCTCCAGAACATCTGAATCCAATGGTTGAAATAGGAGCTTTCCATCCTGTTTTATCAGCCGGTGAGGAATAAAAACACTGGGAGCTGCAGGTTGACCTTAGGTGACCCCCGCGTGCATCAAACGTTATCCAGGTGGACCAGAACCTGAGCCGAACTCACCTTCCTGTCTTCCTGAGCCAGATGTTCCTGCAGGGATAGCTTTAGGGTTTGGTACAGACCCAGACCTCCTCCGAGCAGAAAGGCGCAGCCCAGAATCCTGCCTCCTCCCGCCTGCATGGAGGACACCAGTTTGGACCGGAACCCCGGCCCGCCGCTGCTGAAGCCCCTGTTCGAGCCGCGAGCCCCGGCATTTCCCAGCAAGAAGGAGACGGTACCGAACCGAGCCGCGGCTGGAGTCTCCAGAAAGGTCCGCCCGACCTTACACAGGGTTCTGGAGCAGGCAGCTGCCATGTTTGCTTTACGTAAAGCCCCACAATGCACCGCGGAGGCGGAGCCGCAGAGTGTGCCCTGGGTAATGTCTGTCAGGTTGAAGTGCCTTCTAGGGCCTGAAGGAGAGAACTAAACACAGACAACATGGGAACCTTTAAGATCCTGTTGGAGAACCTTTGGTGTCAGCAGAGAACATGTAGAGCTCACACGCCCAAACAGAGTCTATATACAGGTGCTGGTCATAAAATTAGAATATCATGAAAAAGTAGATTGATTTCAGTAATTCCATTTAAAAAGTGAAACTTGTATATTATATTCATACATTACATACAAACTCATATATTTCAGATGTTTATTTTGTTTAATTTTGATGATTACAAATGACAACAAATGAAAATCTCAAATTCATCATATCAGAAAATTAGAATATTACTGAAGACCAATAAAAACAAAGGATTTATAGAAATGTTGGCCAACTGAAAAGTATGAACATGAAAAGTATGAGCATGTACAGCACTCAGTATTTAGTTGGGCCTCCTTTGGCCTGTATTACTGCAGCAATGCGGCGTGGCATGGAGTCGATCAGTCTGTGGCACTGCTCAGGTGTTATGATAGCCCAGGTTGCTCTAATAGTGGCTTTTAGCTCTTCTGAATTGTTGGGTCTGGTGTATTGCATCTTCTTCTTCACAATACCCCATAGATTTTCTATGGGGTTAAGGTCAGGAGAGTTTGCTGGCCAATTAAGAACAGGGATACCATGGTCCTTCAACCAGGTACTGGTAGCTTTGGCACTGTGTGCAGGTGCCAAGTCCTGTTGGAAAATGAAATCTGCATCTCCAAAAAGTTGGTCAGCTGCAGGAAGCATGAAGTGCTCTAAAACTTCCTGGTATGTGGCTGCGTTGACCCTGGACCTCAGAAAACACAATGGACCAACACCAGCAGATGACATGGCACCCCAAACCATCACTGACTGTGGAAACTTTACACTGGACTTCAAGCAACGTGGATGAAGTGCCTCTCTTCTTTTCCTCCAGACTCTGGGACCTTGATTTCCAAAGGAAATGCAAAATTTACTTTCATCAGAGAACATGACTTTGGACCACTCACCAGCAGTCCAGTCCTGTTTCTCTTTAGACGCTTCTGACGCTGTCTGTGGTTCAAGAGTGGCTTGACACAAGGAATGCGACAGCAGAAACCCATGTCTTTCATACGTCTGTGTGTGGTGGTTCTTGAAGCACTCACTCCAGCTGCAGTCCACTCTTTGTGAATCTCCCCCACATTTTTGAAGGGGTTTTGTTTCACAATCCTCTCCAGGGTGCGGTTATCTCTCTTGCTTGTACACTTTTTTCGACCACATCTTTTCCTTCCCTTCGCCTCTCTATTAATGTGCTTGGACACTGAGCTCTGTGAACAGCCAGCCTCTTTAGCGATGACCTTTTGTGTCTTGCCCTCCTTGTGCAAGGTGTCGATGGTCGTCTTTTGGACAACTGTCAAGTCAGCAGTCTTCCCCATGATTGTGTAGCCTATAGAACTAGACTGAAAGACCATTTAAAGGCTTTTGCAGGTGGTTTGAGTTAATTAGCTGATTAGAGTGTGGCACCAGGGGCCATCAATTTTGAACCTTTTCACAATATTCTAATTTTCTGATATGATGAATTTGAGATTTTCATTTGTTGTCATTTGTAATCATCAAAATTAAACAAAATAAACATCTGAAATATATGAGTTTGTATGTAATGTATGAATATAATATACAAGTTTCACTTTTTAAATGGAATTACTGAAATCAATCTACTTTTTCATGATATTCTAATTTTATGACCAGCACCTGTATATATATATATATATATATATATATATATATATATATTATATATATATATATATATATATATATATATATATTATATATATATATATATATATATATATATATATATATATATATATATATATATATATATATATATATATATATATATATATATATATATATATATATATATATATATATATATATATATAATATTTAACCTAATAGATTATTTTTCTCAATATGTTTCAAATAGTGAATGAAATTCTTCTTAAATAAATTGAACAATGCTTCATAAACATAATAACAGACACCTTAAAAAGACCACATAAGGAATGTTAAAATATTACTTTAGTAAACTGTTAAAAAGTGTCTTAAGTGATTATTGTAAATGCTATGAATGTTTTATGTAACGTTTCCCAGGTTAGTGGAGCTTTATGCCTCCTGTCTGGTTGGAAGTTTATTATTAATTGTTTTATTTGATCCACTTAGCTTCCACAGCATGGGTTCCTAATCTTCCTGGGTTCCATAATATCAAAAAAACAAAAATGCAATTAATAATGCATATGATTATAACATAATTACTTATTGCATTAGAGCCACCCAACACCCTCTGCACAATAAAATAATGATGTGTATTATTAATCATAACCTTTTGCATAAATAACACAAGGCTGCATTTTACTTGTGCTTCCACAGCTAACCAAGGCAGTTTAAGATGAATCTCATGCGCATTGGCTGCTTTGTTCTTAGGTTTTCTTCAATGTTTCTGGTCGGCACTGGACCAAGCGACTGAACAGTAATTAAATGAGTTAAAATGAGACTTTGGACAACATTGCTCAATACAGTAACAAGTAGAATATTTTGGTGACATTACAATTCCACATCATGCTCACTGTGTGGTAAATCTGACCTGATCAGGATGCTCAGCAAAATTCCCACCTTGGTATCCTCAGTATACAAATTAAGGGAAGTAATATTTATAACGTATTTCTACTGCAAAATGTAATATATTTAGATTTTGGAATTGTTTAAAAGCAGTTAATTATTTTTTAACCAATCCACTACTGCATTTAATTTTGTAAACACAAGTGTAAACTTGTGACATTTTGTTTAAGAACAGCTCTGTAAACAATTTGTTTTTTTTTTAACGTGCAGCCTTGAAAACAGTAACAAAAACATAAAAACATTAATATAAACATATGACTGTATATTTACAGTTCAAACATTTCAGTTTTTTTATCAGCATACATTACAACATGAGACTTTTCAGAAACTTATGGAAAATGATTAATGAATACTTAACATAAAAGTGGATGTAAACAGCTTCCTTGTGATAGACCACATGATGTCATCAGATTGGATAGGTCATACTTTACGGGTGTGACCTGAGCTTTGACCCGCATCACACCGTGGGGGTCAGACGACCTCGTCCGGCACGATTTCTTTTAGGATCCTATGCAAAATTGGATTTGGTTTGTTAAGGGCTTTAGAAAGACCCAGGCCAATACACCGTATGTTTTCAGTTTGGTCATAAGAAAGCCAAGGTCGATTACATCAAATGTTGCAGTAGAGTCCAAAAACACAGCTCACAATAGTTTCTTTTAATCCAGACATGTTAATCATTCCTCATTCCTCTGTTCTACAGCATTATTAGTAGAGAGACCCTGTCTGCATGTTAGCAATTCATTTGTACTAAAATAATCCATTATTTGATTCAAAATGACCTTCTCCAAAATCTTGCTTAACAATGAGAGTAAACTGATTGGTCTCCAATAAAACCTGCTTTTGTGTCTTTGAGTAGAAGTTTAATTTTGACAGTTTCCAGAGTTAATGAAAAGTGCAACTTAAAACTGACCTATTGGAAATATGACAAACAGACTTTGAGAGCTGAATAGCAGAGAGACACTGAACCATCTTCTCAACAGCCTCCTGAGTTGCTGTTATAAAGTTGAAATGGCAGTATTTACCATACATTATTTTATCAACTAGTTTACAGCAGTCACTGTCAGTAAAGTTCATGTCAGATCTTAAAATTTTAACTTTATTAGTAAAGAAGTTGTTTAATAATAATATTTTGCTTTTTCATATGGCTTTGTGATAAAGTAATTCCACAAATTTCTGTGATGATTCAAGCTTTTTGCACAATAATTTCGTAAATATTTTGCACACATTTTTTGCTATCGTTAATAGAGTGAAGGATTTTCTGTTTAGAATAATCCCTCTTTCTGCTGTGGGCTCGTTTTATTGCTTTTCAACAAGCAGAAAGTTTTCCTGTCTTCAGAACACCCTGAGTTTTGTGCAACTGCTTTGGCCTTGTCCCCCTGGAACATCAGAGATCTCACCTCGCTCTCCAACCGTGGTGCACTTTTTAAAGGACCTTTTTCTAAGAGGTGCATGATTATTAACCAATCTGATTGATTTATCCATAAAACGTATTTAAAGCAACCTTTACATTCTACTCCTCACAAACCTTTTCCTTTGTTCAGAGCTTTAGAATATGAGTAAATCTGTGTATTAAAAAAAAATAAATGCCCAGAGGAGTGAGAGCCTATCTCCTGATTTGGGTGATTTAGTGTTTATCAATAAAACATTTAGAATGTGATCACTGCACCCCACTTTTGAAAGTATTTGTGAAAAAAGCTCTGGAATACCACAGCGTGAGGTATTCTTGCCATTTGTGCCAAAGGAATTTCTAGTAATCTGTGTGATTATTTGGGTCAAATTACAAACAGTAGCCTTAGAAAACAGTTGTTTTGTTAAAATGACAATGTTTAGAAAACCAGTCTATATTAAAATCCCTTTAAAAAAAAAATATTTTCCCCAGACCCTTATTTATTTAAATAGCATACTTGAGAGCTGAGGGTTCAGTAACAGATAAAGTAAATATTTATACATTAATAGGTTCGGGTTTATTAAAATGCTCATTCTTTTCTTTCCTTTTGATCATTAGGTGCACTTAGGGTTATTCATTTTTTTTAAAAGTTCATCTTTGGTCCCAATGAACAGCTTGTCATACCTTAGCCGTCCTCTTTCTCCCTTTTCCCTCCCAGCTTTTATCAGAGGCTAATAACCCGTCATCCTTGGTTCTGCTTCTGCCCCATCAGAACTGCTTCTTGGCTTGTTTTTTAATGCTTTAGTTTTTGGGGATATTGATTTCATAGAACTTGACAATAAAAAAAATAAAAAGACCAAAAATACCTACAAAAATAAGCACAAATAAATTTAAGAAACACAATAAAAGGAAAGTGGAAAGATCCTTGAAACGAACTAATGAAATAAGAACTGATATAGTTAATAACAGTAAACCATCCAGTCTGTGGTTCAGAGGAACGATTCTCTGCCTGGTTCCTTGGAGCAGCTGGGTTGAACGGGTCCTGGTCCACAGAAGTGAAGTGCAGTAGAGGACGTTAGTCGATCGATCCGTCTCATTCAGCAATTACTTCCCAACTGAGTAGACTGCATTATCTGCCAGTCAATAAACCAGCCTGAATGGTTATGTGCTTTCCTCTTAAGGAGGTTCTACTCAGTGGTGGAAAGTAACAAAGTATATTTACTTGATTACTCTACTTAAGTACTTTTTTTTTGAGTATCTTTAATTTAACTGAGTAATTTTATGGTGGGGTACTTCTAACTTTCACTCTACTACATTTCAAAGTCAATTATTGTACTTTCTACTGCCCTCCATTTCCAGGAAACTGATAGTTCCTTTTGGTTCAGTTTAGCTTTGTAATCCGCTGTTGCTGTTTTTCTTTCTTGGAATGCTATTTCAACATGGCAGAGAGCAGCTCTTAGGACTGAATTTGGACGTCAATGATTTAGAGATTTGCATGAAATTCCACAAACGCAAGAAACTCAGGGCTGATATTATTTGTAGTTTATACATTTTATTACGCCCTTACTTGTTGCCACGTGGCCAAGTTGCTCAGGATGAGTCTCAAAGCAGAGTTTGCTTTATCTTCGTGGTAATATCAACCTTAAGCTCTATTCCACAGAGAAAGTGCAAAGAAAAATCAAAACTCCAGTTTTCTTTTTGGTTTGTTTTAAAATAACAAACAATAATCAAAATGGCTGTCCTTATTTTTTGAGGCATTTTTATACTGAAGTTCTTTCCAGGTGGTGTAGAATCTGTAGCAGGTGGTTCTACACATCAATACATCAGGTGGTTTCTGTAAGTTACAGCTTCTTTAAAATTACTCTCAAAATTGAGAGTAATTTTACTAATATTGTACTAATATTCGAAAATTTAATTTGTATTTTTGAATACTTAAGTACGTTTAAATGCATGCACTTTTGAATACTTAAGTATTTTCAAAGTGAGTACTTAAATGCTTTAACTTGAGCAGGTGTTTGACTGGGTATTTCTTTTTCTTGAAGCTGGGTAAGTTTTGACTATGAGTATCAATACTTTCACTCAAGTATGACTGTTGAGTACTTCGTCCACCATTGGTTGTACCAAATACTGAACTTAACTTACGTTCAGTATTTGGTACAACCAATAGACTTTGTCATTTTTTTACACACAGAGTGTATACAAAAAGAAATTCCGTTCAGCACAGCACTCAAGACATTTTTTAAAGTGCAGCAGTGATAAAAGCTAAGCACCAGTGATGAATGTAAACATATGACTATATGAGTGTGAGGGATTTGCACAAACCAGCCAGAAAACCACTGAAATCTTTCAAAAAATAAAAAAAAAAGTCTTAATTTATTCCCAAAATGTTCAAAAAAAGATAAACTGGGCCCAAAAACAGAGGTCAACAAAACAGAATTCAATTCAGGCTTTAACATAAAGAACTCAAGCACAAACTGACCTAACAAACAGGACATGAGGGAAACTTAAATAGTGGCTGATCAGACCTCTGTTGACACACAAGGGGAGTAACTGACTAACAAACTAATAAACAAATAAACTTAATTAAACAGATAAATACTGGCCAGACACTAAATACGCTAAAATTTTAAATTTAACTAATTAACAAAATTACCCAAACAAAGAATATTTAAACAAATGATAAACAAATATCCCTTCCCATTACAAATGGCTTGACCCACTGATTAGCCTGCAACAGCCAATTGAGGAAAGCTGGAGCTCATTGCAGCCCTCCACCAGCAGATCCCAAGGAAACTGGACTCTCAAAGAAAAAAAGAAATGAATCAATTGCATCTTGACAAAAAAAACAACAACAACCTGACAAATAAAGTTAACTAAATTTGTGCACTGCAAAAAGCTAACTTAAAGTCAGGCTAATGAAAATATATGAAATGTGCAACTGATTGTGAAAATCACAGCAGTAACAGCAGGCTGTAACAATGAGTTACAGTTTACAACATTCAGTTGTTTTTTTTTATAACCCTATTTTATGCAACATTCAGCAGCAGCTTTGATTTTAGTTTTTTTCCCCAGCTTTTTTTTTTTTGGTCATTACGCTGTCACAATTACAGAACAACAAAATTTATTCTCTGCATTTAACTCTTCTCCATGGGGAGAAGTGGGCTGCCATTGTGCGGCACCTGGGGAGCAATGTGGGATTAATGGTGTTTTTGCTCAGGGACCCAGCCATCAACACCATCCCAGCCCATTACCGGTAATTAAACTGCTGGATTTCTGTATATGTGTGTTGCTAATTTTCCCTCATTGTACAATCACTTAATCTATTTTTGTTTGTTTTCATTTATTCAAATTATTTTATTTAGATTCCACCCATTTTATTAATGCATTGTCCTTAGATTGTACATTTCTAATTATATTATACAAAACTATTCTATTATTTAATAACAACCTCGTTTTTCTGCCAAATTATCCTAAATTTCTCCAAAGTCTTTTCTAAGCTTTAGAAAACTCTATAAAACATGAATGCCATGTGTTTACGAGTTCAAATAAATTAAATCAAACTTTTATTACACCGACATGACAAAAAGACAAAGTACTTCACTGACTTAGAAACTGATGGACAAAAAACAAGCAGTAATGTAATAGAAAAAAAACTATAAGTAAAAAAAAGTAGTCAATCCGTTTTAAAGAGAAATAAGGAAACAAGATCAGAAAGAGAACGTATTAAATAAATATTGAAAATGATCTTTCATTTAGTTTAGCAAAAAACATAAAATTCAAGATATTTGTAAGTAAATCTTCAATGATGACAAATAAGCTACCGTTATTTTAAAAGCGATAATTGGGCTAAAATTATGAATGACTATATTTGAAATGAAGTTGTTAAAAATATAAATATATTTGGACTCTATGGAAATTATCTTATCTTTTCTGCACTGCTGAGCTTGTGTTTTATGTTATGTTGCTGTTATTAAACAAAAATTAATAAACATATCAACAAAAAATATATTATTTTATATTTACAAGAAGTGTTATTTATTTAAAGTGAGTTTAATCTCTAAAAGTGAAATTGGATGGATTTATACTAATTTAATTTATACTACTCTATAATGAACATCTAAGCATCATGACCTACTTCAGATGTTTGGTTCTTTACTATTTTACTTTATAACGTTAATTCAAAACGCTGTAAATTGTTAAATATGTAAACCTGAGATAAAATGAACTGAGGCGCGTTAAGGTTCACGGAGTTTCTCCTTCGGAACGCTCGCATCGCGATGCGTTTACGAGCGTCGTTAATCCCAGCTTCTCCTCGGACCGCAGCAGGGGGAGCGCAAAGACGCCCTCCTCCAGCAGCAGCAGCAGCATCCATTAAAGGTCCCCGCATCTCCTCTTCCCTTTTCTCGGACCATCTTCTCCTCCTGTAAGATGCCCGTAAGCGGCGAGGGCTTGTCGGGAGGAGCCGAGGCCAGAGGACGGCATCTCCGCGTATATTTTCGAGTGTGACTGGAAGGCAGCGGAGCGACAATGGATGTGGTTCGGAGGAGACAAATCAAATTCTGATTTTCTCCGGGATTAGCTGGCTAAAGCTAGCCCGGCTAGCTAGCTCGGTGGTGGTTTTCTCCTCTCCCCGCTCTGGTCGCTGTGTTGTTTTCCCTTCAATATAAAACACTCCTTAATGCGTTTTTTTTATTGACGTGAAGACATGTTGGAGTCATTCCCGTCAAGGAGAAACCATCCTAACGGGTTTCTAGCCTCCCAACGGCTCCGCTAGTTAGCCGCGAGCATCAATAACCTTCATTTTTTCCCTCCCCTATTTTCTATCCTTTATCTTTTCTATATTTTTCCTCTGGTTTATCCGTGGAGATGCTGGTAGAGATGGAGTGTGCCTGACGGTGGAGCCGCTCCATGAAGGTCATGATAGTGAAAGAATGATCATGCTGGAAAAACAGGTAAGAAAGCAGCAGAGCATCAAGTCAGCGGGTTCATATTTAAATCCACATCTGGATCATTTGCATATTTACACACATGCTTTGCTGATAAAGGCTGTAAACAAATAAAACAGCCTGATCACATTTTAGATTGTTACGGGTTTGATTTAGTAGGATCTTTGTCCAAAGCTTTCCAGACATTATACTGAAAAAGAGACATTTGGTCCCTCCCATGTGTTTGCCTTTAATACCTCTAATATAAAAAAAAGATAAACACGTTTATAGGTTAATGTAATCATCAATTAGCCATTTTTTACAGATGGTGATCATTAATAAATGGGCAAAATTAATATATTTTTTTCTACAGGTCAGGTTTTTAAGGTTGTTTCAGAATGGATTGTGGTTTTATTCTGTGGGGGATTTAAAGTATGTAGGTTGGTGAGTTTCTGTGTTGTCTGCTGAGGCAAAAAGTACGGAAGAGGATTAGGGCCACTGAAAAAAAAAAAAAGTTAACTGATTTTTAAAAAAAAATTTCAGTTTAGTATGGGAAAAAAGTCAGAATTCTGACTTTTTTCTCAGAATTCTGACTTTAATCTCAGAATTCTGACTTTTTTCTCAGAATTCTGACTTTAATCTCAGAATTCTGACTTTAATCTCAGAATTCTGACTTTTTTCTCAGAATTCTGACTTTAATCTCAGAATTCTGACTTTTTTGTTGTCAGAATTCTGACTTTAATCTCAGAATTCTGAGATTAAAGTCAGAATTCTGAGAAAAAAGTCAGAATTCTGAGAAAAAAGTCAGAATTCTGACTTTTTTCCCATACTATACTGAAATAAAATAAAAAAAATCTGTTAACTTTTTTTTTTCTCCAGTGGCCCTAATCCTCTTCCGTAAAAAAGAGAAGCTCTTGATTTACCAAATCTAGATCCTCATCAGAGGTCATCAGATATGGATCCTGACCAAAAGAGGGAGAATTTTTAATGCAAGTGGTGCAACTGAGGGTCCTCTGCTAAGAGGACAATGGGGTGAGGCATAAGGTGTGCACAGACTTTTTGAAGTGTTTGGGGTGAAAAGAAAAGGATGTCACATATAGAGCATCCTCACCACTGTAGGGGTAAGTTGGCTCCTAAGAGCGGAATTTAGCATTTGTTTTTTTTAACAATTAGCTGCTTCTGCTGCTTCAGTGGAAGAGTCAGCATGGCTATGACCTGATTTTAGATGAGGGGAGATAATGAATGGATGGATCTGGATCCCAGGAACAGGTAACTGAGGCTACGTTCACACTGCAGCCTGAAGTGATCCAAATCCAAATAGTTTGCCCATATGTGACCTAAATCTGATCTTTTCATGGCAGTCTGAACAACACAGATCCGATTTCTTCCGATGCAACCCAGGCCACTTGGCTATGTGGTCCTGAATCCGATACGAATCTGATCTTTTCTAATGCGACCTGAACGCCATTAGTAGCTGACAAAGGTCACTATTATGCATCTTGCTACACAAAGGCAGCAAGATAAACAACAACTCTGGCAGACAATGATGCGGATAGGAGTATTTATGTTTAACCATATTGTTGGGAAAGATCGCTATACATGCTCCAGCACTACCATCTATGTTTACTTCCATAAACACAGAGCAGGCTGGCCTGTGATGTCATTATGTCCTCTACTAGGATAGGAATGCAGTTCACGCAGGAGATCACATACAATCGCATGTATTCTGAAATATGAACTGCAACGCAAAAAAAAAAGTGATTTCACAAAAAAAATCTGAATTGATCATTAAGGCCTGCAGTGTGAACGTAGCCTAAATGGTTCTCTTCCTTGTCTAGTTCTGGGAACATTTAATGAATTGGGTTCTGGTGACCCGAAGGATCTGTATGATTGATCCCTGATACATAAAATGTTAGAATCAATCTTTATATTAGTAGGAAGCTTCTGCAGTGAGTTAAAGGTATAGTGGAGGATGTTGTTTTTCCGGGTGGATCATCTAAATAAATGGTCCTCCTAATTGTCAATCATTCTGGTGATATCTTTATGTAATGCCGTCCTAAGTGCTCATCCCCATTTTCACTTACCGGTGGTGAGTCTGACATAGTAGAAAAATCTTTTGGAATTTTAGCTTGTACGAGCAATGCACCAGCAACTTTTAAACAGAGCGTGCACGTAGAGAAATGGGCTTGTGCATGCTCTTTAAGTTAGTATAGTTTGTCTCGTCCTCTGATGGTTCTGATGTCCTCCAGCTGGTGCAGCTCAGGACCTCCTCACTGTGGAGAGGAGGCGTAGCTCCGTTCCTCTCAGCACAAACAAAAGGAAACTCATGCTTTAAAGGACGTGTGGTTGTGTCGGTTTTATTTATTTAGGGAAACATTTTGTTAATTAGTCGTGGGGTCGCTCTTCTGGAATGAGACCCGTCTCGGTGACGGTGAAAACTGATGCAGCCGTGCTCCAGTTTTGCTCCAGGGGAAGCAATTCCTACCTGGGATGTGTTTGTGTGTTTCTCTGGGTGTTGGATATTTTGGTGTGTAGCTGCCCTGATGCATCTTGGGATATATTTCAGCCTGTATATCAGATTAGATACAAATCATGAGGAAAATGAGTTGAGACCCTACAGAGGGATTTCAGATTCTCTGCTCTGTGTGGATGAAAGTCGATCCCTCTGGTGCTGATGAATCTCTTACATGTTTATTTATTCTAATTTGAAATTAATTTCCATATTTTTCTCCATTTTTGAATAACAACAGACTGCGATTGAGCTGACTGACAAAATCAAAATAATTAGTGATGAATGGTTAATGTGTTTTAGTTGTTTTTTTGTGCGGTCTGAGACAGAAATGTAATATTTCTGCAGACTTTGGAATGATAAAACCTTTATTTTAACCTTAAACCCTGAAGGTGTAATTTCACCAAACTGTGAAGGTTCTTTTAATGTCGTGATGCTTGTTTCAGAGCATGCAGTCAGTCTGTGAGTGGATGTGTAATGATGCAGTCATCTTTGGAGGAAGTCCTAATGTTTGAGTCTCTGCTGTGCAGTAGAAAAGCTGATTGTTCTCAGCTGAATGAATCGAACTGCAGGCTTCTCACTCAGTCTGGGAGAATGTTTAATTTATCTGAAGCTCTGAGGCCTGTTTCGCTCAAGCAGATTATAGAAATCCAGGATGAGAGATTAAGCCAGGCTTGACTTATCGGGATCAGTGCATCCTGGCTTTATTCGTTTCACAAAGGCCATGTTAGGCGCAACAAGTGCAGCCATCAATAATCCAGATAAAAGAACATCCACAGCTTTCCTTTAAAAGACAGCAACACTAAATAGAATAAAACACACATTTCTAACCAGTTCCAAACTGGAAACGTAATAATTTAAGGATTTACTTTTCATTTTCTCAAACAAACAATTCAGTCCCACTTTGGTTAAAGTCTTTGACCTGAATGTAGGGGATTCAGGGTTGAATACTGCTAACGTCCAGAATGACATCTGACATGAAAACCATCAAACATCTTTAATGACTGATCTTTTTCTGTCGTTACACTTTCTTATAAATATTCATACTGAAATAATCCGACTGGAACAAGCAAAGATTCAATACAATAATATTTTACAGACTGGAAGCATCCGGATAAAATGTTCATAATGTATTCTCTCATTTACTACTGGTGTTGAAAAATGCTGGGGGGGGGGGGCAGGTCCAGAACTCTAGACAGCATCATAGATCATCTTAAACAACAAGATGAGTTCAGGTAGTTTGACCGTATATATGTAGTTGTCTGTGGGCTTAATCATAAGTCCCTCTGACATTAAAACTATGATAAGAATCGCCTTCATCTGGACCAGAGAGGCATTTTATTTTAATGTCTATGCGGTCCAAACAGTTAAGGGATACCATAAAAAAAAAAAAAAAAATGATGTATAGTCTAATCCCCTGTGCTTTTGTGGAATCCCTCCTTTATTTGGTCATTCTTCTGTGAGCAGGAAGGTCATGAAGATGTGGGTATAGTCCTTTCAATGTCGGGTACACATGTCTGATAATGCGGCAAATAGCAGTTCACTAAGATTTTCAAGGCGCGGTTTTTTTTGCACCCAGCACACACGAAATTTATTATCAGGAAAATTTCAAAAAAGCATTATAAAGGATGACTGATGTTTGGAGCCTAATCTGTGCATTTGTACGTTCATTCGGTAGTATAATAGTCGACAAGTACCCTGAAGATTACGCCATTTACACATATTTAAAAAATAAGTTACATTTATTTCAGGAAAATAATATCCAATAATGTGTGATAAGCGTTCCATCTAAGACATTTAACTCTTGCCTTTTTTTTTCTCCAACAAACCTCTTGTTCTATGTTGTTTAACCTTGGAGGTAAACTGGAATAATACGGATTGATCTGTATAGTTTAATTTGAATTTTATACGTTATCAAGCTGGAAAGGGTCCTGTAGAAGGTGTTTGTAAAAGGGAGGGACATTCAGTAAAATTCTTTGAATTGATGGCTAATTAAGTGGAACCTGCCTCCCATGTCAAGCTTCTAGCCAATCACACCAGCATTAGCA